TCCCCATCGTCCCGCTGCTCTGGCTGGCGGTGGCTGGGGCCATGCCAGAGCCCAAGGTGCTCTGGAGCATGGCTGGGTTAGACGGCAGCATGCGGTGGTTGGGCGGAGGAGCTGGCATCACCTGGCTGCAGTCAGCGGGAATGGGCTGCTGCACGGCTGCGTACAAGGAGACACGTTAGCCGGTGAGCGCACGTTCACCCTGGAAACATGGCAGAGCCTTAAAAGGCTGCTGCTCCACCTTTCTCTTTCACTACACGGGCCTCTCCTCTGTGTTCTTTGTAACAGAGTTATTACTGGGGCAATAAGGAAATGGGCGAATCTCATGATACGTGATAAAATGTGAAATGCTTTTATTTCAGGGCAGAGAATCATTAAGCGCCCTGTATTTAATCAGACCCCAGGCCCTGGCTCCTCGAGGCTTTTCATAGCATGCCGTTTCCCTCCTTACCTTGAAACTGATTTATCTGCTGAGCCGCAAACAAACTCCTCTGCTCAGATGTTACTCCCAGCATGTTCTGTCTCTGCTTTTCCTGGAAAACAAGGGGCATAATAGTCAAGCTGCAGTCTCCTGACAAACAAGAATAGCAGCAGACACTTGAAGCATAGCCACCGTCATCATTAACAACCTCTCCCGTAACCACACACACACACCTCTGACGAGACTCAGCCCAGACAGTTCATTTCAGACCGGATTTTAATTGCTCCCATGCCCTTCTTGCAAAGGTGTCCTGACAACAGCCCAGCGTTAGGAAGCGCAGCCTTCAGCAGACGCTGTGCAGGCGGCCCAAGGCCCAAGGGGAGCTGGATGAACATGGGGACCCCTGTGTTCTCCAGCTTGTGAGTGAGGTGCAGCACAGCTGGAGGCTGCAGGAATCCTGGCGTCTCCCCAGTGCCTCTCGTGCTGACTATTTGGACGTGTTCTCTGAAAGACCAGGTCCGGGGACACAAAGTGCCCAAAAGTCTATTAGTGAACAGAATCTGTGGCAGCATTGCAGGGACGCATTGACAAACGGGAGACTGCTGGTGGCCATTACCCTGTCTGAAGGATGGCTCCGCTCGTGCGTACCATCACTTTTGTGCTGGTTGCCACCTCTAACCAGAACACAGCAGTGACCCACAGGAATCCAGGGATCCTTAGCAGGTGCTCCCTGAGCAAGGCATTGCTGGCTTCCTCCAAGTGACCTGATGTCCGTCTCCCGCCATTTAACCCCAGAACCAGCCACCACACTTGCATCCCTGCCGTCGACAGCAGCTGTGACCTGGGGAACTCTCCATGGATGGTGGAAGCTGATTGCTGTATTAGAGCAGCACAGATAAGCTTGAAGCCAACTGATGACAAGGAGGCAGAGTTGGTTTTGAAAGGGAGTTTGATCGACGAGCAGGACAGTACTCGGTTGGCGGTTTTACTGAGCTACTTCTCATCTCATTTCCCATCCAAAGAAATGAGCCTCCTTGACCCAAATCCAGCAGCACACTCAGAAAGTCAGAGGCACACGTTCAATGCTGCCTCACCCAACTCGTCTGTGGGATTCCCCCATCCCTGCTCCTTCACACAGCTTGTTACAAACCTTGTACAGGGACTTCTGTTGCTAGAGAGACCAGCAAAGTCCAGGAAAAACTGGAGTCTAACATCTGCTCTGGTAAATCCCCAGGGAACCAGAGAGAAAGGCAAGCATGGAGAACACCTCTCCTGGGGCTGACTCACTCTCCAAGCCTCCCTTCTCTGCATCTTCCCTCCCAACTTTGTGGCTGACCAAGGATGACAGCAATGGTACGGAGGTGACTGAATCCCTCCCTCGCATACGAGTGGGCAGATCTGCACTTGGACTTGCTGAGCAGCACTTGGCCCTGGTCTCTCCTGGGCATGACATCCTGGACTCACCACAGCCCTAGTCTGACTCAACCCAGCAATTCCAGGGTCACTCCTTAGTGTTTGCTGACTGGTGATTTCCCCATTCCAGTTAGTCCTGTCCTTCCCAGTGAGGTGGACAGCACAGGAACCCACAGAGGCACTCAGCATCGTACCTGCATCAGCTGTCGTTTCATTATTTGCTGCTTCAGTAAATGGTTCCTCATCGTGTACCCGTTCACCGTGGCTGGTGCCGGCACAGAGCCTCCGCTTGGGATGGAGCCCGGCTCCTGAAGTCTGGCAACAATTCCAGCATTTTGATCCTGCCAAGAAAGATGAAAAAAGAAAATTAATCTCATCAGGGAGATAACAACAGAAGCCCTTATCCTCTCTGCTGATGCCCTCTCTCCGGTCTTTGGCTGTCCCAAGGCCAAAACACCTTGTGGATTCACTCGGACCCGCACGTCACGGTGAGGGGCAGGGGACGGCTCTGATTTCTGAGGATCAGCACAAGAAGTGAGAGAAGCAAAAGGTTAATCAAAATTCTTTGTGACTAGCCCAAGGCTACGGGACTGATTCACTACCATTACTGGAGTCACATGGCTGCCTGGCTGGCAGAAGGGATGTGAGTAAAGCGTCACATTTCCCACCAGTTCCCCAACTGTTACACTGAAAGACATAAGGAAAGAAAAGTTGCATCAGGGTAGGATTTGGCAACTGCATATAAAGGAGAAGCCTACAGTAAAAGAAAACAGCAAACTAAAGGCAGAAGAGGGGAAAAGGTGCCATCAGACCAGGGACCTGGAAAGATGGGGAAGATGTGGGCCTGGGATTGAAGTGGTTCTTGTGGGTTCCATGATGGACAAATGAGGAGAGCTAATTGTGAAAGGAGAGCAGAACATGCAAAAACTCAGGGTCAGGTCGTGGCTGGGCACAAATCAGTAACGCGGCAGGCCTGATTCCTGGCTGGTGCAAACTGGCCTCGCTGTGAGTCCTCAAGGAAAGATCTGAGTTGACTTTCACCAGCTGAGGACTTGCCTCCAAAGAAAGAGCATTGTGGGGAGAAGAGAAAAAAAAGATCACAAGAACACGATGAAGACACAACCCAAAAGAGAAAAAGAATTTTAAAAATACTAAAGTCTAAATATCTTAGGAGCTGGCAGGTAGTCAGGGAAATACAAGAGAAAAACGAGGGAAGAAGTCAAGGCCTCACTGAGGACAAAATTCTGTAAGTGCTGTACCCAGGAACAGCAGTACCAGTGTATTCCCCTTTCTCCATTTTCACATCCAGCTTCTACATTATTTATGATGTTTTGTTTTTATTGGCAGGGAGAAGTATGTATATTATATCCAGCATCCTTAGCTGGGCCATGCTTCCTTTGTTTTCAGAATGGAAGCCCACATCCTTTGTTTGAGAATCAATGTTATCAGGAGATAAGCAAGAAGAAAATGGTTGTTGCCTTTTGACATCTGACAATTAGAAGCATGCTCAGATGGAGAAAACAGGATACGAGCCATGTTTCAGAGTGGCCAGAAGAAAGCCTTGGAAGGCATTTGTCACCAGGCAAGCTTCTCGGGCCTGGGGCGCCTTCCCACAGCAGCTTCACCATGAGGAATCACCCAACTCCTTCCAAGATATTCTTTGTAAGAGCGATTACCAAGAAGGTCACTGAAATTACTCATTTTTATGGTGCCTCCTTTTGTTGTAGCACTTCGGTCTATTATGCAAAAGCACAATTGATGAAATGTAAATGCCTGCTAGATAATTTACTAAAAGACACAAACCTGCAGCTCATCACTGCTCTCATTATCATTCCTATTCATGGGCAGTCTCATAAGACTAGACTTTATTACTGGTGCTTTGCTTACAATTCTGCTGGACATCTCTCCTCCTCCCCCTTCCCTCCTACCCATTTTACTCCCTCCCTCCCACAGAAAAAGAGGGAGGGGAGGAAAAAAGTAAATATGATTTACTACAGATGTAAATATGAAAGTTCATGTAAAGCTAGCACTCTGCTTTCATGTCAGACAGGATTCTGCAGCCATAGTTAAGCTTTGAATAATGCAGATTGCCCCTAGGGGAATATTTGAAAGTGCAGGGATTCAGTTTGTGTACTCTGCACATGAAAGACACTGAAATGTTCATACCACCAAAATCCCTGCCATCTATCCAATTTCCTCCAAACTTGTCTTGTTGCGTGCAGAGGGTCTGTGCTTACTGAAGCAAATGAGTTTAGCGCAAGGACAATCATTCTGATGTCTCGCTCAGGGCTATTGCATTAACAAGTCATAACATTAAAGTCTCTTTTCCTAATCATGTCCACCTCATTCTAATTTCTCCTAAGCATCATCAAGAAAATAATGTTGATTTTTCCATATTATTAATGGTAAAGAAGTGTAAATCACATTAGTAATTGCGGCTCTTGTGCTGTGGCAGTACAACAGCTTAATTATATGGGACTTTCTGCAGGCACCCTATAGCAATAATGACAATCAGCGAAGTTCATTTGCAAATACACAGAATGGGTTGCTGAGTTTTTCAGAGCAAAGTTGTATAACACTTAATTAGCCAGTAAAGAAACAATCTATAGATAAAAATTTTGCTTTTGGGGAAATTAGGACAAAATAGCATAGATGGGAAGACAAGGAATGAATTCAAAATCTTGCGTTCTACAGTTCACATTTCGGTTAAGCCAAAAAAAAAAAAAAAAAAAAAAGAAAAAAGAAAAGAAAAAGGAAAAAGTTCTCTCTTTTCACCACTAGTGGGAACTACTGTATTCCCTTACAATAAAAAATAACCACTTAAACGTCATGACTAAGAATAGCTCTGGTGTAGTCTAAAGGACACTGCTATCTGTACCAAAGGTTAATGAACTTTAAACATTTTTCCTTTTCATCGCTCCCCAAGAAAAATCACTTTCCTTCCCATAGTAAGGCCAAGCCAAACAAGCCATAATCTTAACTCCTCTATAGTTCGGATTATCCCATTTTAAAATCCAGGAAGACAGCAAGGAGAGGAGGATTCTAGTGTCGAAGTCGGGAACGACGGGAGTGGGTGTTCACACCCAAAGGGTCGTGCGGCTGAGCCAGCTGTAACCCACACTGGAGGATACAGATGGCTACAGGGGATTCTTGTTCTTCAACTTCAAAAAAAATGTGTTTGCATGTAGGTATCGGGTTTTTTGCCATTTTCCCCTCCAAAAACTCATACTAAAACATCAGATTGGCAGAATCCCTAACCAAACGGCACGCCACGCAGACCCGGACTTGGAGAGCATGTGTTTGAGAGCATGTGTTTCTGTTGCTAGGCGAACTGTCGCCCAGCAGGTCCGGAGCTCCTGCAGCACTCCCCGGGCTTTCCGAGGTGGCAATTTCTGTTCAAAAAGGCTAGCTTCGTGGTTTGACTTAGTATCTCATGCACTACTTTTGAGAGCAAGGAGGAAAGAATGAGGTTCCGTTTGCGGGCATGCATACTGTTTGTGTCCGTATTCAGCCACCGACCATAATTGTAAAAGCCGCTGCACAGCCCAGTGAAACCAGTGCCTCCCAGCTGCCCAGCCGGCGCACAATGGCAGGCTGCTCAGGCTGGGCGAACGCATCTGCAGATTACTGCGTCCAACTGCACTGAGCGTGGGTCTGGTCCAACAAAACATTCGGGCACACACTTAATGCAAAGTGTGTGAAGAGTCCCACTGAGACCTACCACATATATTTATGAATCTACATCCTCTAAAAATCCACTGATGAGCTTGACCTGCCCAGCCCCATCATCTGATTACATACGAGATGCACAACTGCAGTAAATAAGCATGGAGATGAATTGTTCTGTGTGAACGTGGTTGATAAACTCCAGTCCTCAGCACTTAGTTACATATCCAGTAATCACTTTGTGGCTTCACTTAAGCGAGAATGAAGAAATTTATGGCCCCTAATTCCTCTGAATCCTCATTAACAAACAGTCCAAAAAGAATTTAAAAGCAAGACTTTCTGAGGATCTGAGCTAGAGCTTTAATCGCTCTTTGGCAAATATGTAAAAATCCCTCTAATCTTTAATAAAGAGCATTCATTGTTTTTTAGGACTATGTGAAAACACTAAACTCATTTATCATTATTAAACTTCCCCATCTGCTCTTACGGTGTAACTCCAACGAATATAACAAAGAAATGTACATGTTAAATTGTATTGACTTAAGCCCAGAGCTATTGGAGATGTACAATTTATTTCAGTGAGGGCATGAAGGGGACTGCAGGCTGCTAGACAGAGTCATTTGTCCAATGCTGAAAAGACAGTTATCTGCACCAAAATGGCTCTTGGAAAGGCACATTTGCTTTATAAGAAATAAGCTGCCAGGTGAGACCATTCAGCATTATGTTACAGACCCAGACAATAAAACTAAGCCATGAATTTCAATAGTTAACAGATGGACTAATTAGAGACCGAATTCTTTGTGGTTCTAACAGATAACCAGGTCACAGCAAGGTTACCGAGAGAGAGAGACAGGCAGCTTTGCAAATATCGGTAGATATTTGCAGAGTCGGGGAAGAGCTGCACTTCCTAACTGAAAGCGTTAGCAGCAGTGGAAGAACGGAAACGTGTCTAATTAAAAATGCATATAGTACCTGCATTTAAAAAGTTTCTTCCATTTCAAAAGGCACTGCTGATTTGAGAAACACCCCCTCCACTTTCAATAGGGCATCCAGCTGAAGCCAGCAATTACAGAGCTTAAAACAGAAGGGTTGTTGCAATGAGCCGCAGCACCCCAGCATAAAAGGAAAAGACCGAAGGAAATGGGTCACTCAGGGTGGATGTTTGCTGTAAATGCGAGAAAGGGACAAACTGCTTTTTCCACCAGGTTTTTTTTGTAACAAAAGATAACTTAGCTTGAAGTATTTACCGAGACATCAGACAATAAAAAAAAAAAACACAAAAAAACCCCCCAAACCCAAAGAGGAAAAACATGGCTACAGGGCTTGGCAGGAGCCTGTGCTACTGCTCCGCTCCGGGGGCTCGGCCGGGAACTCAAGGTGGATCCGTATTCACAGCAGGTACAGCCATTCTCTAGGGGTGGGGGGAAGTTTCATTAGCCGAGTTTTGTTCTGTATTTTAAGAACATCGGTTACGTATGGGGAGTTCTGTCCTCGGCTGAGGAAATGCAAATACTAGTTTCAAACTAGTGCCTCTGCGTTTCCCCGTGCTCCCGCCTGCCTGCCGGTGCATCGTCCCCTGCGCTGCATCTCCTTGGTGGGGCTTTCAGGCCTGGGCAGCACGTCGCTCTGAAGTCCAGGACTAAGACTCCTAGGCATGATGACTCTACAAATACCA